GTTTATATTTGTAGATATAAAATTATTACAAAATATTTATACAAAACTAAAATATCCCTAAGCCTTGTTTTGCTGTGGGGCTCCCCATATAATTTTGTAAATAGTAATTTGTCTTCTAAGTAAGGTCTTTAGTAATTATTTTGCATAGTGAAAGTTGATGCTTCTTTAAAGCTATCAATAGTGTTTGTTTGTTAGTGAAACCTCACGTTTTAAAAAAGTATATATTACCCGGGTAATTAATTTACATTAGCCAATCAGACAAACTTCTTCCTATAATATATAATATGAATCAAGAATGATATTTTTGAATAGGCATTTTCATGCAAGTTTATCAATTATCGCGATCATGTGTAACGTAGAAAATTTTTACTGTAATCACGAAAGAATATTTCTTGTTAATTTTTGCGTAATTTACAATAACACAGAAACAAATTTTAAATCTCAACAAAACATAATAGGACTTTCAAATGGCACCACGTATTCGAAGAATTTCGCCTACAGCCCGGTTCACTTTCTTTTTTATCTTGTTTTTTTTATTTACGAATCAGTTATTGCAAGCGATAGTGATATCGAAAACCATATTGGTAAGTTTGTTACTGGTCTAATAAAACAACTATTGAACTGAATTATGAATATCTTCTATACGTCTATAATGTAATGGGTAATTCAATCTAGAGATGGAGAAACGGAACGAAAACCATATGGGTAAGTTTGTTACTGGTCTAATAGATCAACTATTGAACTGAATTCTGAATATCTTCTATACGTTTATAATGTAATGTGTAATTCAATCTAGAGATGAGGAAACGGAAATTTATACCATCCCGGAATAAATTATAAGGTGAATTTGGAATTCCAACAGCTATTGCTATTATTATTTTCATCTTTGTTAAATGTCGCTTCTGACGTAGGAAGTTGGTCATATGGTTTTTTTTTTGGTTTAATACAGTTAACATGGTTAACGTTTTCAAATAGAGATTCCAATTTCCAGCGTCAGCCACGACATTAAATTATTTAAACAATATTTTTAAATGCATATGATTTGATTTTAAAATAGTGAACTTTTTTACGTAGCAAAAATATCATTTTTCGCATAATCGAATTGATTTACATTGCATTGAGAACATGAAATATATAATACGTGCTACCATCTATTGCTTGAATCATTCTTGTCAAATTTCTTTGTGTAAGCTAAGGACAATTTATGATCTTTGTGATCCTGCTAGTAGTTTAATAAATGATACTGATATTGTCGTCATAAATTAAAATTGAAAATAAAGAATGGAGTTTATATCATTTAGATATATACCAATTTATCATTTTTTTGGTCTAACGGAAGTTGGACGTAAAATTCTTGAATTAGGCAAATTAGATGCAGATTTATTATCCTCAGATGAATTATTCATCGCGTGGAAAGTCGTTTCTGCAGAATTTAAGCGTTTCTGGATTGGCGGTTTCAAGCGCGAAAGAGAAGTTGGTGGTCTTAAACTTGATGCACGTGTTTTCTTATATTCCCCCCTTGAAGTCACTAAATAATGTTATCAGTTATTAAAGTGAATAGCAATTGATTAGGCCATGCAAATTAAATTAGATGTTTCTCGTTACATGGGACAGCGAAAATGTTATATTTAAAAAATTTATAAATTTTTTAGATCTTATTTAATTTAATATATTATAATTTAATATTATTAATATATGCCCATCTATACTAAAGATCAACCAATTTTTTTTCATACAAGAATTACTCGACCAGGTAACGAGAAACAATTTTATTTGTTTGCATGTCCTTAGACAAATTATTAAAGTTGAAGAGCCTACTTGAGGAATTTGAATGATAATTTGAAGAAAATACATTTGGTGTGCCCAGCCCTTGGTCTATTGGGGTAGAACACGACGCATTCATTTGTGATTGTAAAGGTGCATTAAATTTGGAAACAGTTTCCTTGAAATGATCGAGAGAATTCTTTGCTTTCTCAATAATGTGTAATTGTTCTGTCGCTGTTTGATTGTCATCGACGCCATCGTCGGAAAGTGTCCGCGAAAAATCATCAATATTATCACTTAAAAAATTGACCGACGTATCTAAATAAAGTGAACATTTTAATTATCCTGATTCACAAGCTATCAGCAAAGACAACATCCGAGGGCGCTATCAAACCTTCGTCGAGTCGGTTGAAAATTGCTGCACTTTCTCTCCTTTTTCGTAAAGCTTCCCTCTGAGCTTTTGTTCGCTTTTGAGGTTGCATTTCACATACTTCATTCTCTATTTCTTCCTTTACATCGTCATCAATGCAAAAGTTTTTTAATTTAAGAACGGCCGAAAAAACGCTATCGTCTAACGATTCCATGTTAAAGTTTGATTATCATTATTGAGGCAGTAAAAGCAACTTATAATTACTGACGCGTCTCACGTCATAGCAACAGTTTGTTTTGATTGGATATTAAAAAAACTGTGGCATCGAATTTGATTGGTTAACGGCCGTGATCTACAAAATTTTGACCCGCATTAGATAATTGTTTACTAATTTCTGGCCGGAATTAACTTTTTGATTTTTTCATTCCAAAAAGAAATTTTTGGAAAATAGACCCCACACTATGGTACGTAAAATTGACCCAAGAATAAATTTCACTTAGCGTTAGGGATAGAATTTATAATAAAGTATAAGTGGGGTTTGTAATAATAATATTCTGATCCATTGGGGGATTAGCGGTTCATTAATCTCGAAGGTAAATATATAGTAAATAATATGGATCATTATCGATTATTAATGAAGTAATTAAACGGAAATTATAAAAAAATAGAGGTTTTCTTTTCTGCAAACTTAACTTACGACCTGATCATATCAATCCAATCTTCCCTGCCTAAATGAAGTTTGGTTTGTGGTTTAACACAACCTTAATAGTGCTCGGAGAATTTTTCTCCGGGCTTTGCACTAATTGATTATTTTATATATAGTAATTAACTATAGTTGACTATTTATGTATATTAATGATCGATTCAATTCATCCGTAATAACATTCTGATCACACCAAAAAAGCTCACTCATACTAAAAAAAAAATTATCTGTTATGTTTATTACACCATTATTGTGCAAATTGTCGCTGCAAAGCGGCGCGTGCTTATTTGCCAAATTACATGTACGGTAGCTCTCACAAAAAATTTTCCCTCTCTCGTGATTTTTATCCAGGGTTAGTGTTAGTCACGTTAGGGGAGGTTTATTGATTAGTGTTTTTGTGGGAGATCTACAGGCGTTAAATTACCGTTATTCGACAATTTTTGCCCAATAATGTGTACTTAGGGTGTAATTTCGAATTTTGGCCTAATTAAGCTTAATTTAGGCCATTATTCAAAATAGCGCTCCTGCGCGCTTACGGTACGCGGATTTCGCATATAAATTCCTTTAAATGAAACTTGTAAATTTTTAAATCCGCAAGTCGTTTATTGCAAGTCCGCGGTTTAAACTTCGTGAAAATGAAAGGTAGCTATGTTTTTCAGTAGTACTGGAATCGGACCCTCTTGGAATTACTACAGGAGGCTGTCTCGGCGTCGCGCAAAGGCACACTCTGGAAGAACTATTCTGAAATTTAGCAAGGGTGGCTTTGGTTTGTTACCTCGGCGTTAGCGCAAAGGTGCACTCTAAATCCCACTTAAACTATTTGACAGGTAGTTGCTTCTATCACCCTGGAGAGGAGTTTCTTGCCGATAAGTCTGTTGATTTGCATGAGAATCAGCTACGCTCTTCCTTGTCGTAGAAGAAACTTAGTCCGAGCGAACCCTTCGGGAATTATTACAAGAGGCTGTCTCGGCGTTCGCGCAAAGGCACACTCTGGGAGTACTGTTCACATTTAGCAAGGGTGGGTTTAGTTCGTTATCTCGGCGTTAGCGCAAAGATGCGCTCTAAATCACCACCTAAACTATTTGCCAGAATGGGCTTCTATGACCTTGCGGAGGGTTTGCACGATGTTTTAATGAAAATATTACTACTTAATAAATATATTTTTATTAATTAAATTTTTTTTTTTTCAGGATTTCTCGCCAGAAACGATCGACCTTTAATTTTCGTCGATGACAAGCTTAATTCATATAGGATTCAACTGATATAATAATTTTTTGGAGATTTTATTAGTCAACATTAAAAAGCTCTTGTAATTTCATGTCAACTATCAAAAGTCCAGGTAAATTTATATATTAAATGATATAATTTTTTTATTACATTATAAGCACGAAATCGACTAATATTAAATTAGAGTCAGGGTCGGCTTAGGAGAAAGGCAAGGCTTATACCAGATGAGGAAATTTAACATATTAATCATAATATACGTATATTATAGAAATTACGTTTCTTTGATCAATTGCATTTTATCGCACCGTTTAAATTCATCATATTTTGAATTCTTTGATCTATAAATATAGAAATCCCAAGATAAAATCACGAGGGAGATCATCTTGAATTAGGCCACTTGCCATTAAATCATAATCTTCGTTGCACTCCGTTCCCGATAATCGATCCGTCCAATCCAATTTTGGTCCTGAATTAAATTCGATCTTTAAGAACTTATCAATCTTTGAACCTAGATATACCCGATCAAAAGCCTTAAATTTTTTGAATTATTTAAGGTTTTAATAATAATTAAATGCACGCATGTTTATATAATGAATCAGTGGTTTTTGAGTTTGACACTATTTACCGAAACGGGAAATATAAAAATAAATGAAATGTAAGATATAAATAAATATAAATAAATAAAGCACAAAAAAAAAAAAAGTGATATAGACTAAGTATGAAAAAAAATAAAATTGAAAATGGACAAGCGAAAGTTTAATATATTTAGTTTGATCATGAACCCAAATTAAGTAGAATGCCGATTCCAAAACCCAAACTAAGAAATGTTTGGGTCGTAGCCTTATAATAATGACATTGAATTTAAATACTTTAAACTTTCATCAGCAGGTCCTATATAAAAATTGGTAACTGTTTATTAGCAATTTTTCAGGTCAAAAAAATATTAGTATATGTACGATTGATAGGGAGTATATAGTAAAGTAGTACAGTACGGAAACGCAAATTAGGACGGACGTACAGAAATCATGATTGTACGCACGATTTGTAAAAGAAAAATTTTCAAACCAAATTACTTTTTTTACTAGCTTTGATCCCAACCATTAAAAGGTTTACTTATAAAAATCGAATTTCGCAAGTCTGTATTTGTTAGTCGTCGCTTTCAAATTTCCGTCAATTAAAAATTGACGTAACGTTAAAATTGTAAGGTATCGTTTCAATAATAATTTACGAATTAAATAGATACAAATTATATATTTATTATATATTAATTATGTCATTTACATTAACACTACACTACTGCACTATTAAAATTACTTAAGCAACAAAAAAACATTTTAATGAAGTTGAAAACGCATAAAATTTGAAATATAACAGATAAAGAATGCCTAACAGAATACGACTCAACTACATTGGAAAGTACGAAAAGTATTGTTTTTACAACAAGAAGGGTTTTTTTTTCATATTACAGTGATTGTCATTATTTTTTGTATTTTAATCAATTTCTTATTAGATGTTTCGTGATGTCTTATTAGTAGAGTTTGTGAGATACCGTGTTTCATAAAATCTTCAATAGGATAATCACAGTATGTTTATCCAACTGAATATTCAACTCATCCAGGGACGATGATTTTCTGCTGTGGTTAAAGACTAAATTCTGCGTGCGATTAAGACAAATTATGTGATTTTAATGTGATGTGGTTAAGACTATTTCTGTGACTTTATGTGATAAATTTTACTGATTCTGTGAAATTCTGTGATACCATTTGGCAATTTTTGCGATTTAATGCGATTAGATTTAGAAAATTATATCCGTAACTCCCCGACAAACGAGCTCGTAATTTACTGTCTACCTTTCTGGGATTTCCCGGACCTGAATTTGCGGCCAATACTTTAGTCAATACTGCGATATGCTGGAATTCTGTGATATTCTGTGCTACTTTTTAGAATTCTGTGCCATTCTGTGGTCACTAAGGGTAATTTCTGTGATTAGCTGTGATTAAGAGGAATTCTGTGGTTTTCTGTCATACGTAGGAAGACTTTCGTATGATTGGCTGTTTAAATCAATTTAATTTTACATTATTTATACAGTTTAAAGTACTTTTTAA